AGGTATTGGGGATTGAACTCCGGGTCTTAACCTGTATAAGCAAGCACTTTACTAATGAGCTACATATTTTATTTTGAGACAGGGTCTCATTAAGTTAACCCAGATTGACTGCCAACTTGTGATCCTTCTTGCCTCAAATTCCTAAGTAGCTGGGATTACAAGTATGGGCTACTGTCCCTGGCTGCTAATTTTCAAAAGGAAAAAAAAAAAGAGACTCAAAGGAAAGGTCAATAGGAAAGAAAAATTAAAAAGATTAAGGAATAAATCCCAGAATAATCCAATAAATAATAGAGTAGTTTTAGGAAAAATTTGAAGAAAGAATAAAGTTTTTAAACACACAAAAAAATTTCAGAATAGAAGGACCAAGGCTTCAGAGGGCCTATAAAGTAATAAAATTATGAATGAAAAAGACCCACATCATAATAAAACTTGATGAAATTTCAGGAAACTGATGATAGCACCAGGAAGAATTAGGAATCAGAACAGCAACAGAATCCTTCAAGCTTGGTAAATTAGAAGTCAGGGCAGCACTTCAAAAATGCCAGGGGAAAATTACTTTCTCAAATTCCATACACAGCCCTAAAGAAAGCTATAGACATGTCAGGTCTCATGTAGTTTACCTCCAATGGACTCCTTTCTCAAGAAGAATGTGTTTTACCAAATGATAGATGAAAGAAAACAATATGGAAGACAGGAAGAGCAAGGGGAATTCCCAGATTGACAGAGAATAAAAATTCTAGGCTGATATTTGTGTACAGCCCTAGAGATAACAAGCCTAGACTGGAATAAGACAATGGAGACCTCAGAGGGAATTGCTATAGGTTTAAAAAAAAAAAAAAAAAAGAAATATCAGATTATCTAATAGGCCTGCCTTTGTAAAAACTGTACTCCAGGGCTCTGGAAAATGTGGGAATTGGCCAGCAATAACTAAAAAAGAAAACTAAACAAAAAGTCATGCAATTACCAAATTCAGAAAAAAAAAAAAGCACACAAAGAAAAATAATTAAATGGTTACTTATAGTTTGGTAATAAACAATATTCCAAGTCATAAAGACTTAAAATGTCAAATACTAATTAAGCAAATATAGTGAGTATTATGGGAATACTGGTAAGATGACGAATAGGATGTGGGGTTTAAGACCATGAAATACTCATGTACCCATACAGTTTCCTTGTTTTACTTATCTCCAATAAAAATCATTAGTGATACGTAACTCAGTCTCCTCTGACATGAAATGTGTTAAATATACAATGGCTGGATTCTTAGCTACAATAAAATTCAGGCCTATATCAGTGTATGAAAGATGTCGGAAAGCCCACAAAAGTGAGAAATATGCTTAATTTCCTACTTATAAGCATTGATATCTAAAGCAAATCATTTATGCTTTCTATATAATCTTAAATTAAGCATGTATCAAAAGAAGCTAATTATCCATGTCTCCTCATAAAACTGTCAAATGAAGGACATACAAAATAGAACATGAGTCATGAAATTAGTTAGGCCTGAGTACAGTCTCACCTCATCCATTTACTCCTTCAGCTTGTACAAGTTATTGTATGTTTCCTCCCTAAACAATTACCATAACCCACAGCAAGAAATACATTTTACACTGTCATTCAGTAGACATATCTACACTGTGCTTGTGTATAACAAAAGTTTCACAAAATTATACGCATAAGATTAAAAAAAAAACAGAAATAGAATAGAACCATTCACTAAAACGAACAAACAGCAGTGGTGGACCATTAAACTGATTTCATGAATGGGTCATAAACTGCACATTAAAAAATACTCCATAGGGCTGGGGATGTAGCTCAAGCAGTAGCGCACTCGCCTGGCAAAATAAAAAATAAAATAAAGATGTTGTGTCGGCCGAAAACTGAAAAATAAATATTAAAAAAAAATTCTCTCTCTTTAAAAAAAATACTCTGTAAATTACAGTTTCATCATTAGAAAACTCTTTCACCTATAAAATATAAAACTTCCTTAATCAGATTATTCCATAAAATTCTTATATGTTAGGCATTGTAATAACTTATAAAGTATAATTAAAGCCCAAAGCAAATAACAGACCTTATTTGTTTGCAGCTGTCTATCAAGGACAGTGGAATGCCATTACATTCATTTATTTTATTAGTAACTATCAGAGCAATAATTGTAACTAATAACAGCTAAAACTTCAAAAGAATGCTTATCATGTACAGGCACCATAATATGTAATTTACCCGTATTAATCTGCTTAATCAGAACAGATTCTCTGTGAGGTAAAAACTATTACTATCATTCACACCTATTTTATAGATGAAGAAATTGAAGTACAGGATTAAGTAAATTTGCCAATGGTCACAAAAGGAGCTTCTGTCAGAGTTGGGATACAAACAGGTAAAATGGCTCTATGCTCTTAACTGCAAATGCTACACTGCCTTTATTGCAGAAAAAAATGAGATTAACATAAGCAGATATTAGGTCTGGGCTTTGAAGTCTAGATGAAAGATGTCATCTGGAATAACCAAATGAGATGTGATTTTGCAAGTACTTTCTGAATGCTCTCCCCCATGCACCAGACATGAGTCCACCCAGGGGAATTCATATAACAGGGAAGAAATTTGAGCTAAAAGGATGGAATCATAGAAGAGGCAACAGTGATTTTGCTAGAAAAAGGAATGACAGTAATATGGCAATCAGCAAACAACTATTTATTCTTCACAGAAGCTCTTTCAGGGATCCTCTAATCATCGAGGAACCCGAGGTTCAAAGTCAGAAACTTGACCTATTCCACCTGGTCTCAGACACAGGGCTCTAATTCTATCTCAGGGACCACTTCTGCTTTAATCCACTGGTGCTGATTCAAGGAGAAAGGGGACTAGGCCAAGGTCCTAAATAATTGTCACTGCAATGTAACAGCTTCCCTCAGCCCTTTCTAATTCCATGCCTTGACACTGGTCTTCCATTCTGCAGCTAATTGTTATGGGACAGTCATTTTCATTTTCTTTCTCATGTTCTCCATGATTCTCTCCTTTTCAAAGCTAATCATTACTCAGTCTCTGTATCCTTTCATCTTCAGTCTCTTGCATCATCAATTAGTTCCCCTCTTTTGCTTGTATTTACAACCTTTTTCTTCCCTTTAAACACACTTAGGTGATATCCTACTTAGATTGGGGAGGCCTAACAAAAAGATATCCTCTAGAATCTTCCTTCCACTCTATCTATCTATCTATCCTCTAGAATCTTCCTTCCACTTCTTTCTATCTATCTATCTGTCTGTCTGTCTATCTATCTATTTATTGGGACTGGGGATTGAACCCACAGGTACTTAACCACTGTGGCATATTCCCAGCCCTTTTTTATATGTTATTTTGAGACAGGGGCTCACTATATTGCTAAGTTGCTAAGGCTGGCTTTGAACTTGTAATACTTCTGCCTCAGAGTCCTTGCACCACAGCAAGGACTTCCTTCCTCTTAACTCTATGCTCACCAGATACTCTTAAGAAGTTCTTACATCAAAATAATAATAATAATAATTAATTAATTAAAATATAAAGAAGAATAAAAATAAAAAGAATTCTTTACACCTAGGTTTTCCTTGGGCAATTTTACTTATTTCAAGAAACTTTACAGCTAGACAAAACAAAGATGATAAAAGGGTGAATACACTCAAAGAGTGAAAGAAGGAGCAAAAACCATCTCTGGTACCTGAAGGAGGGAAGGTTTCTGGAGTGGTTGCTGCAGTACTGGAATTCCCTTCCCAGGGTTCTGTTCTGGCATCTGTAAATTGGTGATCTGGAAGCCATGTTGCATTTGGTGAAATGGTAGTGCCTACAGAATCGGTGCTTACATATTGTGTGGTCCCATTGTCAGAGTATGAAGAATTGACAGTGGTTATGTAGGTAGGTCCCAAAGTTATATTTGGGCTGAGTGTTGGTGCCACAGAAAGAGAAGTTACTGATGAGGTTGGATTTGAAGTTCTGTTCTGTTCTTTGACTGATTCTGCTGTTGATGCTTTAATTGATCTTGTAATTTCCAAGGAAGGTGAAACTACAAACAGCAAAACATAAGAAAACATTACACAAAGAATGCGAGACTCAAAAGTTATAATATAAGGCAGTAAACCTTAATAAACTCATCAAATATCTGGAGATCAGACAAAGGCCAGACACACACAGATAGACAGACAGACACACACACATTTTTATGTTAAGTGAATCATTCCTCCAAAGGGCTACCTATGGGAGAAATAAATGAAATTCTTCACTCAGTTAAACTTTTTTTTTCCCCCAGGAAAGATCACATTTCTGATATGTTTAAAATAGCAACATGTAGAACAATGTTAAGCATTCAACACAATTCAGAGATTTCCAACGTATTTATTTTACTAACATTTTTAAAGAAAAGTTTAAAATTATATCAACTAGGTCTTCAAATCTGGGTCATTATATGTGAAAGTAAAATTCTGTATCAAATATCAGTTTTCTCAAAAGACAATTTACCTGTGGTAGCATTGCTGGCACTGACGTGTATCAGTCCACTGCCAAACAGAACAAGAAGAAACCAGGAATCCATGCTGACCTGAAAAATGGGAAGTCATGTCAGATGAGGCCCTATATTATTATAACTATGTCCAAATTTTTCAAAATACAAGTATTTGGGGCAGCATCCTCCTAGCTGTTAAAATATGTTTACAGGGCCAATGATCTTTATGAAGTAACATTTCTTCAGGAGTTCAACTATTAATTGAATCTTTATACATACAGAAGTCAGTCTAAATCAGAACACATTTTTAAAGGCAACTCGACTGCACTTTAGAATCACCTGAAAAACTGTTTAAAATCCCCAAGCCAGAATGTACCTCTGTGGGTCAGAGCTAGGTAGCAGTCCTTTTCGAAAGCTGATGACTATCTTTATAGTCCAGAGAAGTATCAAGAATGTAGTTTGAATGCATTAATGTACTACTCTTTGAAGTAGACATTATACAACTACTATCAAACTATCCTACCTCAAACCGCATAAGACAGCAGCATATTCCCACCAGTAATAGTGATTCATTCATCCATTCAGATTTCTTTGCCCTAATACTGGGCTAGAAATTAGAGGAACAATAGGAAAGCAATTTGCTTATGAACTCCACTTCATAAGACGTCCAATCTAGAAGTAATTCAATATTGTACTCACTCTTCAAGGGAAAGAGTATATGCTTTCTTAAGGTGCACCTGAAAAACTCAGGGGGGAAGGGCAGAAGTGAGAAAAGACTGAGATGTAGAAGGTTCATATACATCCTGTAAGTTTGCCATAGTTAGTATGGCAATGCCAAGCAGGGAAATGGGTTCAGACAATGGTCTTCACCAGGTGCAGCCACACAAAATTTTGACCACTTCTTCATTCTTTGTGGGTTATGATTATTAAATCAGTGATATCTGTATAACACTGAAAGATCTGGACAGCAAACAAACGTTGATCTCTAATAAAAACCAGTTCAATTCCTAACCTTGCTATATTTTAAAATTGGCAATGCACATAATTTTTTCCACGAGGATCAGGAAAATTGGAAGGATGACTAGTATATACCCATCAAATCTATTATTGATAAATCAACAGGAAGTTGGGAAAAATAAATATGTTATTGAGGGGAAGGAGTTAGGGCATCACCTTATTCCATACCAAAATAAGTTCCAGCTGGGTTAAAGAATTAAATGCTTGCCAGGTACAGTTACACATGCATATAATCCCAGCAGCTCAAGAGGCTGAAGCTCTAAGCCACTCAGACCCTGTCTCAAAAACAAAATAAAAGGGATTGGGGATGTGGCTCAATGGTTAAGCACCCTGGGTCCAATCCCTGTTACAAACAAACAAATAAAATCAAATAGTTAAAAGTCACACTTAAAACGAAGATAAATAAATATTATGTGAGCTCAGGATGAGAAGTTTCTAAGCATAAAGACAATGCAAGAAATTGTGAAGGTAACAATGGAATAAAAAATAAGTAAAAGGGCTGGGTGGTGGCGCAGTGGCAGAGCACTTGCCTCACATGCGTGAGGCCTTGGGTTCCATTCTCAGCATCATATAAAAATAAAGAAATAAAAATAAAGGGGACCATATCTAACTTTAAAATAAATAAATGGCCTCTAAAGTTTATATGGAGAGGCAAAAGACTCAAGAAAGACAACTCAAAATTGAAGTAGAAGAAACAGTCAAAACTGAAACTACCCGATATCAAGACTTACTACAAAACTACAGTGATTAAGACAGTGCAATGCTGGCAAAAGAAATGCACAAATAAATCAACATAACAGAACAGGACAGACCAGAAATAAACCAACATAAATTTGAAAAAAGAGTAAAGGTAATACAATGGAGCAAAAATAATCCTTTCACCAAATGGTGCTGGAACAACTCACCTACAATCTACCTACAAAAAATTCTAGATCAGGGCTGGGGATGTGGCTGAAGCGGTAGCACGCTCGCCTGGCATGCGTGCGGCCCGGGTTCGATCCCCAGCACCACATACCAAACAAAGATGTTGTGTCCACCGAAAACTAAAAAAAATAAATAAATAAAAAATACTTTTWAAAAAAAATTCTAGATCAAACATCACACTTTTCACAAAATGGATCATAGACCTGCATGTAAAACACTAAAGTATAAAATCCCTAGAAGATAACCTAAGAAAAAAATAACTTTATATAATTTTTCCTGTATCCTGACAATGACTTTTTAATAAAACATTAACCAAAGGCACAATTCAAAAAATAAGAAGCAAGAAATAAAAATAAGCTGGACTTCTTTAAAATAAAACTTCCACTCTGCAAAAGATGATGTCAAGAGAACTAAGCGGGCAAGCCACAGACTAGAAGAAAATATTTACAAAAGGCATGATAAAATGCTATTCTCCAAAATATACAAAGAACTCTCAAAACTCAGAAAACTACATTAAAAAAACAGACAAAAGACCTGAGTAGACACTTTTCCAAAAAAGACAGATGTATAGCAAATAAGCATGTGAAAAGATGAATATTACATATTAAGAATTGAAAAATTAAAACAAGAATGATAGATCATTATACAGAAATGATCAAAATCCAACACTGACAATATCAAATACTTGTGAGAATATAGAGCAACAGGAACTCTCATTCACCCCTGGTGGGAATGCAAAAGTAAAGTTACTCTGAAAAACAACTTGGCAATTTCTTATAAAATTAAATATACCCTTATCATATGTGACCGAGCAAGTGTGTTCCCTTGGTATTTACCCAAATGAGTTGAAAACCTTTGCCCACACAAAAACCTGAAGAGATGTTTATAGCAACTTTATTCATAATTGTCAAATCTTGGAAGTGTAATACAGCCCCTTTGAAATTAAAAGACTCAGAGTGTTTTTTCCTTCCCAACTTCCTGGTATCCGCTTTTCTGCATCTGGAGTTTGCTTGTGCTGAATGGAAACTGAGAAGCTGCTCTCTGGCCTAGGCAGGAGCATGTGCAAACCGAAGAAATTATAACAAGTTCCTGGTTAGCACAGCTCCCCCCCCCCCCCCCCGCCCCCTGCATAGATTGTAGCCACTTCTATACTAGTGGAAACAGTTTGGTCAAATTGTAATTAAATTCATTTTTCCTTTTTACAATATTTGCTTATTTCTTATGAGGGCAGATGACCAAATGCAGYCAGCCAGGACCTAGGCAGGTTCTCTGGCTTGGCTGCCCGTAACAGAAGCAACCAAGATATAAACTGGTATGGAATATTATGCACTGTTATTATTGTGATGCCTTCTGCTTCACTTTTTTTCGCCAAGGACTGCTTTGACTATTCTGGACCTCTTATTTTTCAAAATGAATTTCATGACTGCTTTTTCTATTTCTATGAAGAATGTCATTGGAATTTTAATAAAAATTGCATGAAATCTATATAATGCTTTGGTAGTATGGCCATTTTGGCAATATTAAGGAATTAAATCTTGCAATCCTAGAACACAATATTTTCTTCATTTATTTAAGTTTTTATGTCCTTAAAATATTCTTTTTCATCCAATACATATCTTCCTGTATTTATTCTGGAGTATTTTATACTACATAACTATTGTCATTTATGGGTTTTTTTTGGGGGGGGGGCTGAGGATTGAACTCAGGGACCCTCAACCACTGAGCCACATCCTCAGCCCTATTTTGTAATTGGATTTAGAGATGGGGTCTTACTGGGTTGCTTAGCACCTCATTTTTGCTGAGGCTGGTTTTGAACATGAGATCCTCCTATCTTAGCCTCCCCAGCTGCTGGAATTACAAGCCACGCCATGCACTGGGCAATTTAGGGATATCTTTTAAAAATAAGAAAGTCATTGGTTTTTCCTCTTCCACCATTACACATCAACTATGGGGGAAAAAAAGGTAAGGCTTGTTCATTAAAAGAAGTGCAAACCAGAAGGGTGTAAAACATTCACCACCTGCTAGTCCCATTTCCCAAAAGGGACTGCTAAATACTTCTTTCTATTGCCTTCAGAAGTTTTCTATACTACATGAGTGTATAGCCACACTTAAAATATAAACAGTATTCTATTATACATGTCTTATACAATAAATCCTAAACATACGCCATTATCAATACATAGTTATCTTTCTTGTCAATGGCTGCATAGTGTTTAATCATATGGATACACCAGTTATTTTAACTATTTGCTTTTGTTAAGTGATTTATATACAATTTCCTCTCCTGTCTTATACATCATTTTCTATTAGGCAACAATGCCCTGAGTAAAAACAGAATTTTATATTCCAGAAAAGACACAATAATGGGAGAAACCCAAGTTTATAACTGTTCATTTTTCAAAGCACACTTTGTGAACCACAAGCTTTTGGTTAATTGAGTACAGACAACTGAACAAGGAGATTTAGGGAGATGAGTCATGAAGTCTGGGCATTTCCCTAATATACTGGACACAATGGCACACACATTGTGTTCTCCTTCCTGCTCCGCCCACTCAAAAGGCCAATATATGGTCCTTTCATTACAAAAAAAGATTTCTTACTAACTTAAAATAATATTTCTACCGTATATACATTAGGTTGCTCAATTAGCAAAGTTCAACATTCAAATAACAAATAAAAGCACGATGCCATTAGTAACAATAATTTGAAAAATACTGAATGTCTAAGAACATTTCCTAAATATACTTAAAATTCAAATTCAGCATTGTAGATTTGAGATATTTTCTATGGATATATGTAGAAGCTCTCAACTCCCCAGTGGGCTCTTAAATCACTCCCAATCTCCCACTGGCTGTTAAATCATTCACACCTGCTCTCTCATCACAAAAGCCAAGTTTCTCTGAGCATTCTGTATGCCTCATTTCATTTAATCCTTATCAACTCTGTTACACTGATATTGGTGTTATTATGATTTACTGTGCTGTGTACCTGGAGGCTTCTCTCTTGAATAACAGAAAGTTTGAATGTTTAGTCCACAGACAATTGATTAAACATGCTGACATTCATTTCAGGAGTAAATTATTTGAAATATATGTCCTGTTCCCAAGATGAAGGAACCATTCATGGGCATGCCCAGTGCCTGCCTCCTTGCCCAG